ATCACCGGAATCACGAAATCTTTCAAACCAATTTCGACACTGCCTTTCTTTTAAGGCTTCATCTCCATATACGGCACATAACTTCTTTTGTGCTTGCGATGCGTTCTTGCCTTTTCGGAAGTAATACAATAAAATGTGTCGGAAGTGCACGTCCTGTTCTTTCATTTTTAAATTGGGATAAAAATAAAACTAAAGAACTAAACAAAAAAATTTTTTACTAATTAACCTAGAAGCCCATACAGTAAGAAAAAAATATAGGTTAGATGCTCTGGCCACGTTAACAAAACAAAAGAGAGTGTAGAGTGAATCCGTCAACAAAAACGGCAATGACTTAGTTGCCCACCCAATATTTCAATTTTTTTGTCGGATTTGTTTGTCCTTTTCAAAATTTCCTATCAATGTTATTGGCCCCTCAGTAGCGTTTTAGAGAGATTTGTAAGTGGGGTTGGGATATTTTTATCGCGGAGGTTTGAGTTAGCATTTAGTGTCTCTTTATGCTTGCAACTATAATAAGTCTACTCAATTAATTTTCATCTCTGGGACACGATTGGACAAAAATCAGCCTTATCTTTCAAACTTCGACATGTTTAGGTTGGAGTCCTGTGAAGCTATGACGATTTGATCTTCTTATGATTTCAAAGTTCTTCGTCCATTTTGTCTCGTAATGCTTAGTTTTGAAGGTCATTTATTTATTTATTTCGAATGACAGGCATTTTGATAGTTATCGTTAGCCCTTAGCTGACTTGGAACTTCACAGAGGGGAAAAACGTCAAAGTTCAAGAGGGTGGACTGAAGAGTGATTTGCAGATGTAAAAGAGACAGACACAATGATAGAGTAGTAGTAGTTGTTGTGGATGCACTTTATTTCCATCTTGTGGAGCAGCTTTGCGCTTGGAATAATTGCTTGGAAGCACATAAGAGTATCATATTTGAATGGATTTGTTGCAGGTCGATTTCATTTTTGAAATCTTGTTGTATCCAATCCAAGCTTTTTGGAGTTTTTCCGTAAATATTATAATGAATTTTGGCATGAAGCCGATTGAATGTAGATTGCACACCATAGGGTTGGTTTGCATTTTTATTTTCGTAATCCCACATTTTACAAACCCGTTCAAGGTCAGCCGGATAGCAAATGAAATAGTTCACCGGAAATGACCTATTGGTGGCGTCACTCTAACCCCTTTATCGTCGTAGATCTGTTTGTTGGTGTAGACTGAGATGTTTAATTAATATTGTCCAATTAATGAGACACGTGCATGATTGTTGCAAGTTCTTTTGATTCGCAAGTGTCGTTAGCTTATTTTAAAATTTGGTGTGACTAAGGCACACTCCACTTCCTCTTATACTCTAATTAGGAATCGGAGGTATGACTGTGGATGCGACCGTTTATGAATTTGTTTACTATAGCNCAGTACTCGCCTCACCTTTTTTCTACCTTTTTGTCTATCTCTTTAACACATTTGAAACACNTCAATGTTATTGGCCCCTCAGTAGCGTTTTAGAGAGATTTGTAAGTGGGGTTGGGATATTTTTATCGCGGAGGTTTGAGTTAGCATTTAGTGTCTCTTTATGCTTGCAACTATAATAAGTCTACTCAATTAATTTTCATCTCTGGGACACGATTGGACAAAAATCAGCCTTATCTTTCAAACTTCGACATGTTTAGGTTGGAGTCCTGTGAAGCTATGACGATTTGATCTTCTTATGATTTCAAAGTTCTTCGTCCATTTTGTCTCGTAATGCTTAGTTTTGAAGGTCATTTATTTATTTATTTCGAATGACAGGCATTTTGATAGTTATCGTTAGCCCTTAGCTGACTTGGAACTTCACAGAGGGGAAAAACGTCAAAGTTCAAGAGGGTGGACTGAAGAGTGATTTGCAGATGTAAAAGAGACAGACACAATGATAGAGTAGTAGTAGTTGTTGTGGATGCACTTTATTTCCATCTTGTGGAGCAGCTTTGCGCTTGGAATAATTGCTTGGAAGCACATAAGAGTATCATATTTGAATGGATTTGTTGCAGGTCGATTTCATTTTTGAAATCTTGTTGTATCCAATCCAAGCTTTTTGGAGTTTTTCCGTAAATATTATAATGAATTTTGGCATGAAGCCGATTGAATGTAGATTGCACACCATAGGGTTGGTTTGCATTTTTATTTTCGTAATCCCACATTTTACAAACCCGTTCAAGGTCAGCCGGATAGCAAATGAAATAGTTCACCGGAAATGACCTATTGGTGGCGTCACTCTAACCCCTTTATCGTCGTAGATCTGTTTGTTGGTGTAGACTGAGATGTTTAATTAATATTGTCCAATTAATGAGACACGTGCATGATTGTTGCAAGTTCTTTTGATTCGCAAGTGTCGTTAGCTTATTTTAAAATTTGGTGTGACTAAGGCACACTCCACTTCCTCTTATACTCTAATTAGGAATCGGAGGTATGACTGTGGATGCGACCGTTTATGAATTTGTTTACTATAGCTGTCTGTAGACAATGAATTTTGTGGTGGAAGAAGGTCATACACATCGGCTTCTGAGTTAATGGCAGAGTAGAAAAAGAAGGGGGTCTGTAAAAGGAAATGTTGCTAATTTAAGGGATTGCATCGGGAGTAAATGGGCTTTTTCAGTAAATTTATTGCCTATTTATACCCGTAGTCGTCCCTAGCATTCTTCTTAAAAAGGAATGCCAATGCATGTCTGTGTGTTGGAATGGGTACCACCACCATTAGCCTAGGTCCAATCGATAGCGCACAGTTGTCATTGCGATCGTCTGAGTTGGGGGGGGAGGGGGGGGGGGGGGGGGGGGCGTAGTCCGACTCTGATGTTGTTACCATGTAAATGTTGAAAAAGGCATTCCCCAGTTGCGTTTGTGGTTTTACCTTATTTCCAACTTCAGTCCTAGGATATTCTCCTTCGAAATGAATTTAGGCCTGATTATTAGTTGGTTTATCACCGTAATGATTGATATCTACGTCTTTTTCCGGATGTTCTCGCACTTTATTTATCTCCCGAATATTGGGGTGGATGGGTGGTGGGGGGGGGGGTTATATTCACTTTAGTGCCACCGTGAACTTAATTTCCGTTCTTATATGCTTCATTGCGTTTTCTTTTGCTATGCCTAGAGTCTAAGAAGTATTTGCCTGTCGATTATATGCGTATGCAAATTAAATTTGAAGACTCCGCTTGAACGGTTAGCCTATACTCTGCTGACTAATTGTTCAGACCTTAAAAATGTAAACTATGAAATCGAGGACGGCCTTCGCTTTTGGGTTTTTAGCTAATTTTTAATATAATTGTTAATTGTAAATCAAATTGACATTAGTGGAAGGTAAAGTGCCCTCATATATGCTAAACCCAAACTCAGAAGAGCAAGATAAAATGCGTCTTGTTTAAAGGCATTTTAGAACCCCGTTACCCCTATTCGAACCTGGGAGGTAGCATTATCCATCACACGCCAACATTTCCAGGTGCCTTTTTAATATGTTGCTGATTGGTTCAAATTTGGCTTAGCAGTCCCATACCATTACACAATAGCACCAATTGCGTATCGTGCGTAGATAAACAAAAATTAACCATTTTTGGCTTTTCTTATCATTATAAACGTCAAATGGGTAGCCCTTTAGGCCTCTCAAGTGAATTTTACGTTATATCTATGAGGAGTAGAAAGTGAGGAGGATTTGAATAGTTTAAAATAAATACCTTTATCTTATTATTCTACTTTTCTTCTCTTTCAGGGTGGAAGTTCCAGCCTTCAACATGATGTACGGCGCTCCTTCTGTGGGCCAAGCGCCCCCCATGTTACCAACAGGGGTCTACGGGTTCCCGGGAATGAATGGTGGTGGACCGACCCCCAACGGGGTGAGTTTTAGGGTACCTCCCTCAGGTGCTGCTAATCCCACTTCTCCCACATCTCCGACTCCCAATGCCGTTGGAAGTCAACCGATAGTAGGTCAGGCTCCCTATTGGCAGGCAACTGCAGCTGATCCGGCTCTTGTCGCTGCATGGAAAGCTGCTGCATCTGGAAATTTGCCAGGTGGAGGTATTCGACCTACTGTTTTCAACCCCCAGCAACAGACCTCTGGAAACAATGGAACTGATACAACGGATAGTGGAGGTGGTGGTGGTGGAGGTGATCTACTGAAACTCTTCACAAATCCATTTGCTGATGTAAGTCTTTGCTCTGAGAGGTCTGAGAGTTTTCTACCCTTTTCTTATTACTTTATTAGTAATAACTGTATACATTACACCTTTTAATCAGACGGATGTATTGTTGCAGCAGAGACGGTGGTGTTTTGTGGAAGGGTAAGTAAATGTGGTCCATAAAATTCAGTACAATCAGCTTGAACATGTGCTGTTATTGCTGTTGACTTTTTTCTTGAAGAAACTCACACCGAAATTGGTTGAGCTTTGGTTAACGCAATTGAAGAGTTCTGTTTGAACCCCTAATTATTTAAGGATGTGTATTATTTTCCTTTCAAGACTAGTTGTACATGGTTTCCTTTTTATTAAACCTATTTGCTGTTGCAAATCCACAGTTTAATTAACAGATGCACATTACTACGTATCACCTGATTTTATAATATGTTAATCTTAAAAGTAATTGGTAATATTTCATTACTCCAATGATGAAAAATCGATCATGTGAATATTTGGGGAGTTGGATACGCAAGAAGTCTGCTCGTATGATAAACACCCATTGCGATCGTGTTGTCAAGCGTGTCTTAATTTCCATCCCATTTGTTAAGATCCTATCAGGTAAAGGTGTGTTTCTCTCTGGGGTCTTTTGGGCATTTTGCACTTCTTTCCCCAAAATTTGAAGGAAGAAATAAAATAAAGCAGTCATTGAACTATATTCTTATTAGTAGTTAATTTTCAGTAACGGGACTTTGGATAGAAACGATTAGAAACTCCCATTCTACCACCATTCATGTTTACCAGAATGTCACTGGGTGTGCTCGAATTCGCATTGCCCTCACGATCTCTGACTTGGCAATTGCTGTCTTGGATGTTAGTGATCATCCCATATTTGATTTTCTGCTGAGCGAAAGAAGTGTAACCTAGTTATTGCTACAGCCTTTTGCTGTTGTTGTGCTTCAATGGCTCAACACTCGCTGTACACGTCTACCGTGCCGAAAGATGCGTGTTCAATCCCCAACACTTTATCCCTAGTAAGTAGAGCAGCCAATCGCACTGGTCGGGGTGACAGAATTCGGGTGACACCACTTTCTACTCAGATTGAGAAATGAGAAAAACGCTTTCTTGAATGGATTTAGCATATTTATATACCTCTTATTATCTCGAGTGTCTTTTCAATAAATTACTTCTCCTCTCTCTTCACTCCTACTTGCTTACATTTGAATTTGTTTAGCCCTTTACAAGGAAGAAGTTTCCCTCACTCATGCCTTTTGTATCCTCTTCACGTCACATTCATTGTTTGTGCGTGTGTGTGTGTGTGTGTGTCTCAACAGATATCGCACCTTGTGATCTCTGACCTAGTCGACTTGTACTTTAATGTCAACACTATCACTATTGTGTTTTTGAAAACGATAGCATCCTGCTTTGTTTTGTGCGTGCAATTTTTCTTGTACTTTATTTAAAAAATATTCTCTCTCTCCCTCTCTCAATATGCGTTTTTATCAACTTGGGGGGGAGGGGGTGGGAGGTGCGAAGATAGCACGCATTTTCAATGCCCTTTTCGTTTCAACTGTTTCGGCCTTATTTTTTGTGATGTATATCCTAACTTTTCGTGTTTTAAAAATGCCAAATACAATGGGGAAACACAATGTATACTATATTGAAAAACATCTCCACAAGAACGCTTTTCTAAATCTTTAATTCCTGTTTGCGAGTTTAAAACTTTTCCTACTCCCATTCCCGCATTTTATTAATTATCAGCCTTGGCAGTCGGTTGATCGTGCTAATTGATTTTGGCATTTGGCGAATCGCCTCACTTTAGCCATCTACGAAAGTGCTTCATTTCCTCATTTGAATCCTCTGAATTGGCGAAGCCGAATTCTGTCTTCCTCAGGGCTTATCTTCTTTGATTGATTTACTCCGATGGGCATCGAGCCCTTTTCTTTCACCTCGCGGACGAACGTTCTCCTTAAATTCTCAATGCGTGTTTTTTTTGGAGCGAAAAGCCTAGTGTGTATATTCATAAAATTGGGCCACATTGAAATGTACCAACACCCTTATATACTCGCAGACTTTCTGTTGCTGTGACATCCTCCTTCTCCTTCAGATCATTGGCGGCACAGTCATCACTGAAGCCAAAAAATGAACATATCATTGCCTTGCAGTTTGTGATCAATCAAGTTCAAGGAGATGTGATTCTGTTAAGCAAAGATAATTTTCCTAACGAATTTAATCTAACTCTGTGTTTGGCGCAAAGGTTTACGCAGATTAGTAAAAGAAAACGTGGGACTGACTGATTGGTTGAATTGTCACAAGGAAGAGGCCGGTGAAATTCAATTATCAATATTTAATTGCATATTCATACGGCAAAAAAGTCTATTAACTGGCAGTTGACTTCTCACTCCAAAATACCGTTACCTCACTCTATGCCATATTCGACTATTTTCACAGTACTCACCTCACCTTTTTTCTACCTTTGTGTTTATCTCTTACATCTTTGAAAC